TTTTCAGTTACTGAAAAAAGTTACACTGAGTAAAAATTACATCTTTCTCTAACAATAATTGTCGAAAAACAAATTTTAATTGTGAATTTCACCTAAATTTTCTCTGATGGTATGAGACCTCATACCGATAAAATATTATGGTGAAAAAGTAATAATCAAAAATTAGTCATTCTTCAAGAAAAATTTGGATCGGGAGTATTCGGCTTAGAATAATAATAATAACTATCTATCTTTATCAATTAATAAAAAACCGATCTTCGAGTCAATATATATATATATATATATATACTAGACAGTTACCGTCCCGCCAAAAAACTAAAAAAAAATAAAAAAAAAAAAAACGTAGATACCCTTCATGCCTAAATGAAATAATAAGTGAAATTTTCCACCCACGCATCCGCCTATGCATCCACCCACCCATCCACCCACGCATCCGCCCACACGTTGGTACATGGAACTAAATTCTCAAAAAAAGAAAAAAAAAACGTAATACCCTTCATGCCGATAAAAAAACAAATGAATTGAAGAAAAATGCTTGTCTTTTATTTTTATCGGCGGGAAAAAATGTTTATCAAAGTTAAATAAAAATAAAATGGTAATAATAAAATGGTAATGGAAATAATAAACTCAAATCGAAACTACGTGATAAATGGACCAAGTAACGAAATATCCAACTTAGTGAACTCCCTGCACGACGCAGTGAACTTTTTTCGTGATTCCTACAAGGCTTTCCGCTCCAATGTCAAAAAACACATTTTGCCATATTATTAATAATATTCATAATTTTAACTAGGCATCATAAAATAAGAATTTATTTTTGTGTAATTTTCGAGCTAGGATTTTAGAATTTAAAAATTTATAATTTAAAGAATATCTTAATAGATATACAATGCCGATTGGCGTTCATGTGAATAAATAAATAAATAAATAATAAATTTTAAGCACAAATCATCACTATTATTATTATTATTATTATTATTATTATTATTATTATTATTATTATTATTATTATTCTAACTACTTTTTTTTAATTTTAATTTTACGAGCATTCTGATGACAAGAGACCATATGATAAACGTTATTCTTATTTCTAATTGTTTTTCCATTTAAATGTTTTATTTTAAAAACTATTTATCATGGACTATTTGAAAGCATAATTGTAACGGGGTGGTTTGAATACCCCGAATCTTTTTGCCAGAAGCCTCGGGTCGGGTCAGTTGCTTTCGGAGCCATGCGCGCTGTCGCTGCTCAGTAGGGCCTGAGGCCCTCATTCCTTATCGAGGCGGGCAGATTGATTCATTCAGAGGAGTTCACTCTACTCAACAACATCTTTTCCCTTAAGCGTACATTTATTACAGTTTTGTTAATAAAATTTATATTAGTTAATTTGTGAGTTGTCTACCAGGATGTCAAGGCGTACAATACCAACTGTAAGTTTTATATTGTTTATTAATTAATAATGGTTGATATATTAAAAGTTCTTGTTGATTAGTAAACGATACGTGAGTATTTTCCTCTCTTTCTGTTCTAAACGGTTCTAGGCCCTTCTGGCAACCTCTCTAGCGTTTTCAGATAACTCTCTTTATTATTTATAATGTCGGGATGAGCTTATATCTTTAAAAATATCATTAGTTGACAAGATACAAGGTCATTTCTTAATTCTTGACATTTTTAAAGATATAAGCTCATCCCGATGTTACACTCATCAAGAGCTTTCATTTAAGTACCCACATGACATTTTTGATATATTTTATATATATCGTATTTGTGAAATATATATAATATATAAAATATATGAAAAATTGATGTGGGTACTTAAATTAAAGGTCTCGATGAGTATAATGTCGGGGTGGGGTTATATATTTAAAAATGTCAATAGTTCACAAGATACAAGGTAATTTCTTAATTATGTATCTAGAGATAGAGCATTTTCAAATGCAGCCTAAATACTTATCATAATAAATTGACTATCGGTGAGAATCATATGAAAGCTTGAAAAAGCACAAATTTAAGTCAAGACCTTTGCAATGACACTAAATTCCACTTAATTTTTCTTATTCTCTTAATAATATAGATTAATAAATGATAAAATTAATTGATTGAATAAAATATTAAAATAAATCTATTAAAAAAATGAAATGAAAAAAAATTAATGAAATTATTTAATTACTTAATCGAATAAAATAAGAAGAAAAATAAAAATTATACCTTTTTACAGATAAATCCACTGAACTGATAAAATTATTCTGACACTTAATTTTCAGCTCACAAATTTTTCCGCTAGTATTGAAAAATTTAATCGTGTCATCAGCACCGTAACACACTATGACATTACTTATGGAGCCTAGCCCCGTAACTGTAAATTCTACATTGATTATGCGCGTCAATGTCATCTGAAATAGCGGAATTTTATAGTATATATAGTAATAAATAAATAGATTTGTTTTTTTTTTTTTTTTTTTTTTTTAATAAAGTATTTTAGAAAATACATACTTCGGTGATGTTGAAAATCCTGATCTCTTTGTTACTGTTAGAAGCAACGAAGATATCTTGAGTGTCTAAACATTTCAAGTCAACAATTGATCCATCGCAACGTTCATACTCATCGATAACTGGATCTATTAATGTATTGTCACCTGTCAAATTTAAGAAATGTCAATCAATAATAATAATACTTTGATTAAACTATTTTCTTATTATTGTTACTATACCACTTGATTTTATGTATCATTTTTAAAAATCATGGAAAAAGCAATTTTAAAGAGCATTGACACTCAAAATTAATGCAACTATTTTTTTTCTTAACTGAATTATTTTATGTTTGTTATAATTACAATAATATTGTATTTTGTTTATAATTTTTTTGTTAGATAGAAATTAAGTTTTTATGCTGCATTGATATTCAAAATCAAAATACTTATTTTTGTCAACATCTCAGGTCCTAATTATCTCATTTTTATAAAAAAAAAATTAATATGTTGTAAAAAGTAAAGTCTAATAATAATAATAATAATAATAATAATAATCTTCAGTAATCTTAGTAATCTAATAATAATTTTCAGTTACTGAAAAAAGTTACACTGAGTAAAAATTACATCTTTCTCTAACAATAATTGTCGAAAAACAAATTTTAATTGTGAATTTCACCTAAATTTTCTCTGATGGTATGAGACCTCATACCGATAAAATATTATGGTGAAAAAGTAATAATCAAAAATTAGTCATTCTTCAAGAAAAATTTGGATCGGGAGTATTCGGCTTAGAATAATAATAATAACTATCTATCTTTATCAATTAATAAAAAACCGATCTTCGAGTCAATATATATATATATATATATATACTAGCTGTTACCCGCCCGCAAAAAAAAAAAAAAAAAAAAAAACGTGATACCCTTCATGCCTAAATGAAATAATAAGTGAAATTTTCCACCCACGCATCCGCCTATGCATCCACCCACCCATCCACCCACGCATCCGCCCACACGTTGGTACATGGAACTAAATTCTCAAAAAAAGGAAAAAAAAACGTAATACCCTTCATGCCGATAAAAAAACAAATGAATTGAAGAAAAATGCTCGTCTTTTGTTTTTATCGGCGGGAAAAAATGTTTATCAAAGTTAAATAAAAATAAAATGGTAATAATAAAATGGTAATGGAAATAATAAACTCAAATCGAAACTACGTGATAAATGGACCAAGTAACGAAATATCCAACTTAGTGAACTCCCTGCACGACGCAGTGAACTTTTTTCGTGATTCCTACAAGGCTTTCCGCTCCAATGTCAAAAAACACATTTTGCCATATTATTAATAATATTCATAATTTTAACTAGGCATCATAAAATAAGAATTTATTTTTGTGTAATTTTCGAGCTAGGATTTTAGAATTTAAAAATTTATAATTTAAAGAATATCTTAATAGATATACAATGCCGATTGGCGTTCATGTGAATAAATAAATAAATAAATAATAAATTTTAAGCACAAATCATCACTATTATTATTATTATTATTATTATTATTATTATTATTATTATTATTATTATTATT